GTGTGTGTGGTGTGTGTGTGTGTGTGTGTGTGTGTGTGTGTGTGTGTGTGTGTGTGTGTGTGTGTGTGTGTGTGTGTGGTGTGTGTGTGTGTGTGTGTGGTGTGTGTGTGTTGTATGTGTACAGTATTAGTCCAAAAGTTTTAGTGATCTGTCACATTATCAAATAATAGTAAGATACTAGAGCAACAGCAAGTTTCCACAGAAGAGTGGCCTCACATGTACAGTCTGTGGGTTGTTAGTTGTTCACTCACTAAGCGTGAGTCAAGAGGCCTACGGCAGTACATTATCATTGTTCACAACTTCTTGGTCAGGATAAAAGTGACATGTAAGGTAATGGCCAGTTTGTTAACTGAGAATGGGTGAAAGAAAAGTAATCTAAGCGACTCTGACCGTGGAATGATTGTTGGTGCCAGACGGGCTGGGTTGAGTAACTCAGAAACTGCCGATCTCCTGGGATTTTCACTCACAACAGTCTGTAGAGTTTACAAAGAATGGTGTGAAGAACACAAAACTTTCAGTGAGTGGCAGTTCTGTGGGGAAAAACGCCTTGGTAATGAGAGATGTCAGAGGAGAATGGCCAAACTGGTTGAAGCTGACGGGAATGCGACAGCAACCCAAATGACATTACAAGTGATATGCAGATGAGCATCTCTGAATGCACAACACCTCGAAACTTGTAAAGGATGGGTTACAGCAGCAAAAAGACTTCGAAGATCAGTCGTAATAAACGACTGTCAGTGAATAAGCAAAAGAATGAACGCGAACGCAAGTAGCAGGCTCAGAACTGTAACCATTCATCCACGGATCTTGCAGTAGTATGATTTAATGATTTCACAAATAGCCCTTTGGTGACATGTTTGCATCAGCGGCAACTACTCTCACCCTACTCTCTCATCCCACATCCCCAGAAGCTTTCATCTATTCTCATACTCCTCAACACCATACATTCCAAATAAGTCGTAAAGAACAGTAAAAAAAACTTAAAACTTGAGGTACATCTGTATGTCTTCCACTGTACTCTGAAAAGTATTCTGTACTGTGTCCAGTCTAGAGACTAGTTCATCCATCTCAACAACAGCCTTGAAACATCGGTATTATTTATGGGTTCCTCTCTTCCTCTTGATTCTCCTCCCTCTCCCTCTTCCTCCTCCTTGAGAGAGTTACCAGCCTCTACAAGGTCATCTCCTTAACCTCCTGGATGCCGGATTTACACGCAAATTTCCTAATCAATGTTTGATTTCAGTTTATCTTGAAAGTTAGTTATGGTAGTTTGGTGTAAGTGTGTATATGTGTGAAATAGAAATAGAGAGAGAAATAGAGAGAGACAGAAACAGAGACAGAGACAGAGACAGAGACAGAGACAGAGACAGAGACAGAGACAGACAGACAGAGAGTTTTTAAGAATTGAGATCCATTTTTTGTTCGAGTTGTTAAGAGCTGTTATCCTACTTCTGCACACACGAAAATCGTCCTCTGTCAGTATCTTTACCTGAAGGAAATTTGAAGAATGTTTTCGAGGAACCAGCGCCCCCGCGCCCGGTCCCAGACTAGGCCTCTTGGTGGATCAAGGCTTGATCAACAAGGCTGTTACTGCCGGCTGCTGGCAGACCAACGCATGAGCCACAGCTCGGCATACAGCCTTTTAAAGTGACTGGTTTGATAATATTAAAAAATATAAATCAAACTTTGTGAAGTTAGTGCCAGCTGTGGACCAGAGTTTTCACCAGCAGTGGACCAGAGTTTTCACCAGCTGTAGAGCAGAGTTTTCACCAGCTGTGGACCAGAGTTTTCACCAGCTGTGGACCAATTTCACCAGCTGTAGACAGAGTTTTCACCAGCTGTGGACCAGAGTTTTCACCAGCTGTGGGCCAGAGTTTCACCAGCGTAGAGCAGAGTTTTCACCAGCTGTGGACCAGAGTTTTCACCAGCTGTGGACCAGAGTTTTCACCAGCTGTAGAGCAGAGTTTTCACCAGCTGTGGACCAGAGTTTTCACCAGCTGTGGACCAGAGTTTTCACCAGCTGTAGAGCAGAGTTTTCACCAGCTGTGGACCAGAGTTTTCACCAGCTGTAGAGCAGAGTTTTCACCAGCTGTAGAGCAGAGTTTTCACCAGCTGTGGACCAGAGTTTTCACCAGCTGTGGACCAGAGTTTTCACCAGCTGTGGACCAGAGTTTTCACCAGCTGTAGACCAGAGTTTTCACCAGCTGTAGACCAGAGTTTTCACCAGCTGTGAACCAGAGTTTTCACCGGGTGTAGACCAGAGCTTTCACCAGCTGTGGACCGGAGCTTTCACCAGCTGTGAACCAGTTTTCACCAGCTGTGGACAGGAACTTTCACCAGCTGTGGACCAGGACTTTTACCAGCTGTGGACCAGGGCTTTTCACCAGCTGTGGACCAGAGCTTTCACCAGCTGTGGACCGGAGTATTCACCAGCTGTGAACCAGAGTTTTCACCAGCAGTGGACAGGAGCTTTCACCAGCTGTGGACCAGAACTTTCACC